CAACTTTCCTTCCAATCACTCACACAAGCACTCACACACAGTCCATTACAGCTGCTCACTCACTCCTGTCCTTACTGCTGCTGCTGCATAGAAGTGATTAGCAAACCAGTGAGACAATCTGCAAAATGACTTTCGTCACACAGAACCCACGCTCAATAAGCTGCCATATCATGTACAATCTTGTGATTGAATTGCCACTTCATAGCCTCTTTCCCATCCTGCTTCTCGTGTTTTTCCAACTGCAAGCAGGGGAGTGCAGTTACCGGAGTGATGTGTTTGTGTGTTGTTGTTGTTGTGAGCCCTGGGCTCTTTTCTCTGATCGGGAAGAGCCTCCACTTCTGGGCCCTAATGCCTGCCTTTCAGTTGATGCAGCAGCAATTTGACTCCACAGAACCTCCAGCTATACACCTCCTTCCTCCCTGCACCCATCGACAGCTTCTTCTCTGAGTGGAAGATTGAAGACATTGAAGAAGCGCTGTATGCTGTGAGGGAAACTCGGTCTAAAGTTCCTTCTGCAAAGAAAAGTGCAGGAAAATAAGATATCATACACTTATTTCAGATGTTTCTGTGCAGTTCTATTTTATCGTAGATAATCGGGAATTGACAGCACATCGTTCTGTTGCATACAATAAATGTATCCATTGTTGTTTACTCTACCAAGTGACCGGAAGCGGACCTGATTGACATTATCCCAGTACTCATCGTAAACTCATCTCCTCCCTATAAGCCTGTTACATAATGGACCATTAGGCTCACTCTGCCCAAAGGATTAGAGGCAGTGAGGAAATTGCTCAGCAGTAGACAGAGGGGCAGAGACATCTCTCGCCTCCAGATGTGCGCTCTGATGATTTAGTTTTTCCTTTGAATCAAAGTTCGGGATCTTCACAGCCAAAATATTTGCTCAAGACCATAGCAGTATCCATGGGTTTGCTGGAGCAAGCTTGTTTAGAACATTTCTTCCTGTCCGATCTTTGTCGCTGAAGTCTTGTCTTTAATTTAAGCTTGCAAGGCTGCTGGATTCGCAAGATCATGTGAAAATCCACTTTGCCAAGCTTCAATTTATGAGTTTGTGGCCAAACTACAGTGGCACTGGACCAATCAGGGTCCTTTGAGTAAGTACTAGCAGCTGCAGGGGTCGGCGCTTGGTGTGACGCAACGAAAAGACACTAGCAGTGGTGGCTTCCATAGATGTTAGCATAGATGCTGCTAGCATCAGTTATATCAGAACTAGAGAGTATTTATTCAATTAAAGAGTTTTCGCTCTTCTCCCGACTGGATTCGGTAAGAGTTTGACTACGTTATATGGTTTGTTGATGTGATTAGTTGAAGTTTGCGGACGATAAGCGATGATAGACAGATGGTTTATGTCCTGTTTTTCAAAAGTGTCTGCCCTTTTCCAACAGTTTCCAAGGACGACATCACAGATGGGTCTGTGTAACAAATGATCTGGTGCAGACGACTGGTAGGTTGTCATTTGTCCAGACCAGGCCAAACTGATGATGTCATCCACAGCACTGTGGTCCAAGTCTCCTCTCTGACAGTGGCAGACAACCATAGACCCTTAATGCACACATCAGGACAAAGTCGCTAAATCTAGTACAATTCACCAGAGACCAACTCTTAATGATCAATCAGACCAAAGATACAGCAATCAGTGTCGCTCCGGTCTGAATGTCTCTAAAGATGCATGGTGTAGAAGCAAGACGATTGCCCCTGGGGGTTTTATACATCCCCTGCTGTCAAGGGAGGGGTTCGGCAAATTAGATGTACGTCGTGCAGTGACTACATGCAGCCACCGATCCAGCACTATTCATCAAACTGACAACTCACCCCCTGTATTCTCCATGGCTGTGAGCAGACTGGAAACCTCTCCCGTCAGGATAAGCATTCACTAAGACCAGACAGGGCACCAAGAGGGAGGGACTCGTGGACCTGCAGCCATGACGGTGATCTCTCCGGTTTGTGTCTAAGTAGAGTGGGACTGAATGTCACTAAGTCTCCGGAGAGGGGAAGAAGAGGATCTTTCACCCGTCACTATTGTCATGACAACTGCTATAAAGGCCTCGCCTGTGATTGATGTTTCAGCGCTTCCTGCCGCCTCGCTTCTTGTCATCTCAAAGAGGTTCAGCCATTTCTTCACAATGTGTATTCCTGTGAGGAATGTGTGATACATGCAGAGTATGTGTTTGTGTTTCAGGCAGTCATGTTATCTGCTGAGTGATGGTGCAGCTTTTTATTTTGTTGTTAAGCAATTTGCCCGCCCCCTGCCTATTCCCAGTCTTCTTTTGTATCACACAATAGCATGATTGGCTCTACCCTCCTTTCCCTTTCCTTGATTAGGGCATACATCTTCCAGGCGACAAAACTTCCCTCTTTTGCTGCAGTTAGATAGAAGATGTGGCTGAAATGCTATCATCAATGCACCCTTGCTAAAACCAGCATTTGCTCATCTGCTGGCTGGACACGTTTTAACTTAAGACAGAAAAGGTCACTCTTACTGCCAACTAAGAAAATGCTAGACCCTCTTTTCCTGACATGTTCTGTACTGTCATTCAGTTAAATTACTGCTCCCTGATAGTCGTTTTTCACAGTTTTTTTTTTTTTTTGGGGGGGGGTCCTTATCCGAATCAAGGGTCTATGGACAGAGGGTCTTGAATGTTGTCCAGATTGTCCTGAGGGAGTGATTTTGGGCAATATAGATAAAATTTGACTTGACTTAACTTGACAGGTGACAATGTGCCACCAGTTTTTTTTCTCCTCAGACAGGTCCATTAAGGCACTTTCACTACTTAATATGGGGCTGTTGTTGAGTTGCTGTTTAAGCTGACTTTACCATACCTTACAGGCAGCTGATTGACTTTTGTACTACAACTCTTGTTAAATAAAACGTATCTGTCACTGAAGAGCTACTGAGCTGAATCTCTGCAGAAAAACATCCATGTAATTGTACATTTCATTCAGTGGCTTTTTCCCTAAATATTTTTCTTGTGTGTAACTGCACTGTTTTACTACAGGACATTGTGCTCAGCTCAAAAGCATTGCGCTCAAAGTTTAAATTATTGCCACTCTGTTGCCGCTGACCTTTAAAAGCACAACCAGTGAGATAACAGCTGTATTTGACAGAGCTAGAAGCAACAGATGCAAGCATGGGAGAGTAAATAAATGCAAAAATGTCATCTTGCACAAAACGGTCTGTGACTGCAGCTGTTGTTGTTGCTCAAAAATATGGTGAATAGCTCCTTTATGACGTATATCTATGATGCGCTTTGCCTATGCATATCTCTGCACTATGCAAGCAAATTTCTTATCATATGCAGGCGCTTTATGGTTGGCTGGGGCACCTGCAAGCAGTAAACTACCTACATCAGTGGTTCCCACCCTGAGGTTCACAGCCACCAAAGGGGCCCCAGGACAGTAAAGGACTGAGGAAGAAACCAGACTAAGAGTCTGCAGCCATAATAGCAGCTCTGTGAGGCTGTACATAGGCACAGTGGATCTAATGGCTGCTAATGTTAGTATGCTAATGTCTATCGTTTACACCATCTTAGCTTAGCATATTAGCATTAGCACTAAACGCAAAATACAGTTGAGGCCGATGGGAGGTTTTGCAGGTGTTTGGTCATAAACAAAGGTATTGGACAAACTGAAATTTTCACCTGAAAAGGGGAATATGTCCATGCCAACTTTCCTGGTAACCCCTCCACTTGTTAAGACATTTCACTACAAGCCAAAAATGGTCACCCCAGGGTGGGCGCTACAGGAAAAGTCAGGGGATCGGTGAAGTCAGCAGGACGCGTCCATGAATGACCGTACAAATGTCACAGCAATCCATCAAATAGTTGTTCAGATACTTCAGTCCGGACCAAAGTGGTGGTTGACTGATTGATCGACATTGCCACCCATAGAGCCACGCTACTAGCACAACTAAAAATATTTCTGTTACACATTTTAAGGGCTCACAGGCCAAAAAGGTTGGAAACGTGTCCTACGTGTTATGCCATTCTGATGAAGCTTTATGGCTGTCACCCTCTCCAGGCCAACAGTGGAGTTAGCAGTCTCCACACCCTAGCAGCTTTTGCAGCCTTTGGTTAATGGTCACTGAAACTCTATTACTGTGTTTGCCAGAATGGCTCATATGCAGCAGTATTAAATGTGATTAAGGCCTGTACCTGCCCAGTCATTTGTACAGTGGTCCATTAGCTGCAGAGGACTCATCAGCTCTGGATGAGAAGCGCAGAAAGGATTTGATTCCCTCGTGCCTTTCCCTCTGTGGACCTGCCCTCAACGCAGCCAGTGGTTTCCATAGAGACCATCGGACCAATCCCCTCTCCCCTTCTCAGTACAGTAGTACAGTGAGCTATTGCATAGTGTGTTACATAGGTTCCTTTACAGCGAGATAATCCCTGCTTGGTCAACACCCTCGCTGTGACATTCAGTTGATGGTGCAGGCGTGATGCACATAAGACACATTAGAGATTCTTTTTAAAATTGTTTTGTATAGTTGCGGTTATAGAGTATAATTTAAAAAGTACTTACTGTGTTATATAACCAGAGCCAACACATGTTAAAGCTCCACATAGCCATTTTACATTATATTCACATTTGTATTCAGATCACCTCATATTCGCCAAGCAATCCTTTCATTCTCTCTCATTGTGCCACTCAGTCGTGACTCCAAACACTAATACATATTGACAATATAGATAGGATTAAGTAGCCTTAATGGATAAACAGTACTTCTCTATGTGCATAGATTAAGTAGGTTAAATGCAGGAGAGGGTGTGCGCCTTGGCTGCTGCTAATGAGATGTGTGTTACATCATGAGACTACTGTACGTGAGCCTTCATCCCCATTGTGACCAAGCTTGAATGAGCAGCAAGCCAAGTCGGTGTGTGTGAGTGAGAGAGTGTGTGTGAGTGTGGGTAGGTGGGTGACCAAGGGAGCTTTAACTGCATGCTAGTCAGTGTGTGCCTCTGCTTTCTGCTCTCCTGCTCCCCTAGACCAGACACAGAGGTTCGCGGCTCTGCCATGACTCACAGACGCCACCATCACTTGTGAGTACAACTATAAATGTTGCATGCTGGGAGATTTTGAGGGACGAGGTGGTAGTCGAGGAAATCTGAGAGTAAGCATTTGCCAGCAAAAACTTAATGTCAGAGTGGGAAATGCTCACTTGATATAGGAGGAGCCTAATATTTATTTATTTAAGTTTTATTTCGTTTTTCGTGTCTATTTGTGGAGTGAAGTGATTTTAAAAACAAGTGCAAAATGTGAAGTTCTTTCGTGTGTGCTGCTCTGTGCATGTGCATGTATTTTTGTGTGTGTGTGTGTGCATGCTGTTGGCCCAAACAACCAGAGATGCTCCCGTAGGCTAAAACACAATCTACCTAGATTTTTCTGCTGCACCGACAGAAGTAAAGGTGGACTGGTATTTGCGTAGCACTGATGATGTCACACCAGTGGAGCTATTTTTAGAAAGGGGTCTGAAGAAGGCAGGCTTTTTGTTAATGTTATTATTATTCAAAGCCTTTCACCAGTACGTCCTCTTCTCTCAGCCTGTTTAATCTCACTGTTCTGGTCAATTTGGAGCCTCCGATTGTAGTCTCTAATGATAGTAGTTAGTATTTTATGGCTTTTTTCTGCTAAACGCACACAAACACAATACAATTTTTGAAAGCTATGAGTACAGCGTCCAGAGAGAAAGTACAAAGAGACAATGAAATAAGCCAAATGTGCATTTATAGAATATTTCCAGTCTGTTTAACACAAAACATACACAATTTCCGGCAGTATAACAACTCATAAACATTTTGCTGAAACAGACATAAGAGATTAATGACTACTGCTTCACAAGGTATGCTAATATTTATGAAGGTGATCAATATTAATGACAAATCTGCGAGCAACCCGGAATTATTCATGCATTCAAGACAGACTCTTACTATACTAGAGAATGCTTAATGTGGTTTCATGCATCAGGCTCATGTGATACATGTTGCACATCTTCTCAAATGAAATGTTGAGAAGCTGACTGCAGTGTGCCGTATCAGTCTCGGCACTACCAGGCAGCAGGCTTTTTGGGGGGGCCCATGTTGACCTCTTGCTTAATCCGCTGTCCGTCTGTCTAGAAAACTCATCCATTAGTCCCAGGACGTTCATTAGGCTCTTTATTTTATCTGACGTCCATGGAGTCACATAAAAGTCATATTTTCTGCTTCACTAGAGCTGCATTGCATAAGAAAGAAGGATCCTCCATCTGTTCTACCCAAGGCTTGCCTGCGCTAAGCAGGGTTTTCATCATATTACCAAGTGGCCCCACCCCTCGCCGGGTCAGGGTACAGGCGCAAAGCTAGAGCTTTTTCAAAGCTGGGGGATCGACTGCAAAGGCTGATCATGTGATCCACCCAAGGTCGCTGGTGGGTCTGTTTCGCAGTGCGGAGTTTCCCTAAAGTGCCCTGACTAATCACATGTTCAGCCAAGAAACACAGACAGCATAAAAGCGTGCACTAATAAGTGCTGCTTTGACTTATTTACTTTTGTTTCCTTATTTTTCTGTCTGGTTTGAAGCGGTCTTGGAGCATATGGAGGGCCTTGATGACCTTTCATTCACTCAGCGGTTGCAGGTCCTACAAAGCTAATGGCTCTTTCCTAACTAATGGTGGGCAGGGCCAAGTGCATCTGTGTAATATGCTGCTGCTCCAAATTAGCTCCAAGGTAGATCATGACCTGTATCTCTCACGAAGACACATGATATATGTTGTTCCAAAGAACACAAGCAGCTAGCAACTGCTGATAAGATCCTATTGACTGCAACAGTTCCAGCCTTGTTATTGAGACATCTTCCCCCGGTCCTTCAAATAAAATAAGTTTTTTGGAGAATTAGGGAAGCTTTGAATGGCTGTAATCAGCTTCTCATCCATTTTACACTTGCTGGGCTGAGCAATCTAGAACTAATCCAATCTGTAGTGACACAAGGAAGTGTGGAAATCAGATTGGGGGATTCTCTTCTCTCCATACACTGGCTGAGTTCCTGTGGTTGTCCACTTCTGTAGCAAATAATTGGACCTGAAATAACTTGATGTGTTTGAGATGCTTCATAGAAGTACCACAGTGTTATTTTCAATTACAGATCTAAGTCTTGTGCTTACATTTATCATTTAAAGTCACCATGAGTTGAATATTTGTGATTAAAGGACCAGTATGTAGGATTTAGTGGCATTTAGTGTTGAAGTTGCAGATTACAACTAACTGAATACAGCTCATAGATAGAACTCACCTTTGCTCACACTCTCAGGGGCTTTGTTGCTATAAGCCTTACTTAGTCTGGTATTTACAGTTGCTAATATTAGCAAATGTTAGCAAACTATAAATAGATATTGCTGTGTTTCTGGCCACCAAATAAATCCAAGTCCAATATTCACTCTGCTTTTGGCTCCGTTTCAGCCTCCACCAACTCCTGGGAGAAATACCTGATTCGTTAACATCTAGATTTCGTTTTCCTCAACTAGTTGCTAACTTCTGTCTGGTTGTCTGGTGCTGGGCAGGTAGTGTACAGGAGGTTTATTTTTGCCATAAAACCAGCTGCGTGCTATAGTGGGCAAAAAGGCTGTACAGAGGAAGTGGGTCTTCTACAGAGTCCGCCATTTTCAACCGCCTTGTTTCTACAGTAACCTTGCTGTTTTGCGGCCACTGTAGTTCCTTTCTGCTTGGTACATAAGGGTAAGGCAAGGGCGTTGTAATCTGCAACTACAATGCTATTTGCTTCTATATCCTACACACCTATCCTTTAATTTTGTGTTAAAAAAGTATCTACTGGGTATATTATTGTGCAGTCACAGGTTTTTTTCAGTCCACATTTATCTTTGGACGCCATCAGAGCCAAGCAGTATTAATATGGCAACACGTTTCCAAACAAAGTGATGAAGTAATTAATGCGTAAGGACTCTTTGGAGAAGTGCTTAACAATTAGATTCAAATGGCTGTTAATTATTGAGAAACTATGCTGTCAGACAGTGAATGGTGGGGATGTGGCTGATATAGGCCCGTTCATCTATCTTACTGTCTGTCTTAACTGTGTGTGTATACACAGTTGCTTAATAAGGCCACATATATCACTCTTCATGACAGCCATATCAAATAAAGCAGCTAGAGCTGCGCCGCTATGTTCTAGATTGATTGATTTGACTTTATTGGAAAATTCTTTGTCAGCATGTTTCCACAGAGCACATTACAGGACCTTTAGATATCAACACTGTTCCCAATCTACTGTTATCACAAAGGTAAATCTACCCAGAGAGTCTGCCCACTTGTCTATAATAAATGGGCCGATGAAATATTTAGGGAGCCCTCCTGGTTAAAGTTTAATGCCTTACTCGCTGTGCACCTTTACATCTTAAAAGATGACTGTGGCAGTGTCAAACAGCCTTTGTGCATTGCTTTAAACTGTCGAGGAAAATGACTAAATCATGAACTAAGTGTAATTTTAAATGCTGTTGTTCTCCAGGTCCCATCCTCACTGTTGTTTTAATGCTGCATAAACAAAAGCAAAGAGCCTACAACCAGCTCAAATTACCCCTGGTGTTTTCAGCCTCAGTGTGTTGTAGAGGGAGATCTGTGTGTATTCAGCATGCAGCAGCGTTGCTGTTGTTGTCCACAGTGATATAAGAGCTCTGCAGCACATGGGGGCACGGCTGTTTTTAGTAGGCAGTAGTAATTACAGCTGGAAATTGTCAGATGGTACATAAAAGTAGAGACATTCCAGCTAATTAAGAGTAACCTCATATAAGCGTTGTCATTGGCTGTGAAGAAACCATAAATAGATCAGGCTTTTTATTCACTCTCCTGCCACCGCTGTTTGTGTTGAATTGATCTAATTGTAAAGTCTCTTTCATGGCAGCGCTGCAGAGCGCAGCTGAGAGTATCAGAGATCAAAGTGGTCTCGCTTTCCCATAAATCTGCATGGAGGCAAATTTAGGCAGCTGGCAGTGCTGCGCTAAACACACTAGCCGTACCTGTACAGCACACACCTCCCGATTAGAGCGAACCAGTCTCTGCCGGATCTGCGGTCAGGCTGGAGCTGTCGTTTATTGGCTGTACTCGCATGCAGGGGATAATGTGATGGGCTTTGCTGTTTGTTTCAGTTCACTGTCACAGAGCAGGATGTCAAATGAGGTATCATCACTCTTTGATAGAAAAAACATAGATCCCTAATTGCTTTACCCCGTGCTTATTTATAGTAGCACTGAAACAAGAAGTTCATTAATCAGCTAGTCTATCAACAGAAATGTAATCAACAACAATTCTAGTGATCGATTAATGTTAATTAAGATCCCCTGCAGACATTAAGACATATATAGGCTAGGATCACACTGCAGGAACAAGTGATCCAAACCTGATTTCTTTGCTCATATGTGACAGATCTGTTGTGTGTTTGTTTGTTTTTTCATGACAGCGAGAACAGCTCAAATCACTTGGAATCTTTTCAATTCTGATTTGGGCCACTTGCAATGCAACCTCAGTGTGAACAGTCATATCAGAATTGACTTGATGACTTTTACGTCAATGTAGATCAGGTCACGTCAGGACTTGTTCACACTGGAATCTGATATGGGCCACATTCAGACATAATGTGAATAGATCTGAGCAATAAATCATAATTGAACATTAAGACTTGCAGTGTGGACATGTCTCCTCCTTCACTGTAAAGTCCATTCTCAGTGGATGTGCACTGGTGGCTTCAAGTTTCTACATCACACTGTACAAGTTACATACTGATGTCACAAATAATTCTTGTAGGCTATTAAAATCAGATGTTCAATGAGCTCAGAGAAACTTTCCACTTTCAGCAGATGAATGTGAAAACATCCTTCTAGACTCAAACTCTGCACAGACAGCATTCAAACAGCACACTGTAGGGACAAGGAGAGAATTAGTTTTTCAAACAGAAATTCCAAACTTTCACCAGTTCCTGTTTTTCACATTTGAAATTGTCTGTTTTTTATCATTGTATATTGAATTGTTCATTGTTGGTCTGGCAGAACAAGCACTCTGAAGA